AGGCCAGACCAATCCGTTCTCAAGCCTTGTGTCCAATCTTATATAGCATATTATTGCGTGACCTTAGCAATGTTGTAATTATTATAGTCGCTGTGCAGTTTTCGATAAATCGTAACAAATTTACTGATTTATGGTATTCGCAGGTCGAAGCGCTGTGCTGCGCGGCCAAGGATGGTTCCCCTTTGGTACAACGTCACCTGTTGGACTTTCTTTCTGCAGCCATGCCGTTGGACTCAACCTTTTGTGATGAAAGGCATCTTCGTCGCATCTTGGGCTTTTCCATATTCATTCTTCTGAAGCGGGACGTTTCTTTGAACCGACGACTTTACACTTGGGTTCTAGGGAAGCAGAAAGTTGAGCCGAACTGCGACCTCGCGTTTTTTCGTGACGTTACGTTTAGCATGCTTACAGAAGCTCTGAAGGAAATGCTCAACTCTGCTTCTCTCATTTCTGAATGTGTTAAGGTAGATTGTTAAGGTCTCTCAGCAAAACTGCTTATAACTTCTTTTGCTTAAGATCCTGCGGCTGTTGACGTTCTTGCAAGACAAGCCGGCAGTTGGTCGGCCTGTTTTAGAGCGGTTGTTGTTTCCCTCTTTACGAGTGATCATGGCAATGAACGACGCCGATGATCGCTTATGCTCGTCGCAGGGTAGCGCGGCCACCGGCGAACTTCTTAAATCACTTAGCATCCTTCTCGATACGCTCGAGCCTGGGTTTTTATGGACATACTTGCAGCAGCGTCTGAGCGGCGTTGGACACCAATTTTCCACTACCAGCACGTTGCCAGATCCGGATTGCGAGTTGCAGATCGTCGAACTGTGTAACATGCAACTGTTTTTTCTACGAGATTGCACATTGGTACGAGTAATCGAGAGAATGTGCTCATTGAGACCGTTCCTTTTCTGAATATTTTCGGTTTGTTTCAGATGCCATGCACAAGTGTCAGCTTACAGCGCTTCGCGAACCTCATTAGTTCGTATTTGTCTCTGATCGTCGAACGAGCAGAGGCGATGATCCTGGTGCCGCAGGCTTTCGAATCATTGGTTGAGGTAGTGATTGCTGTTTGTCGCTATGTGAACGAGTCGAAAATCAGTCCTGACTGCATGTCGAATGAAGCCGATCAACGATCACTGCTGGTATGTTGTAGTAGCACTTAAACTTATTAGGCTGCAGAAGCTCAATCAGTAAGGTAAAGGCACCTAAATAATTTTCATGTTCAGGTAATAGACTGATAGACGTTTCTTTCATATTTTTTTTCTTACTCCGCAGCTGATTTCTTGTTGATTCCTGGTTGAGTGTGCTAAGCCAAGCTGACGGTAAAAATTTCATCGCCAGGGCTTTTTCCTGCCACTTCGGTAACATCATTAAACCCACTACATAGGTTGTTGTGCCCTGATGATGCTGCCGATGGGGTAGCAAAACGCATTGACAAACTTTTTTATCATTGGCTTTGTTTTGTACCCTCTATCATGAATCAGCAAATTAGCTATTGTTACAACAACGGGCACAAAAACGAAATCGTAAAATCGTATTCCTTCATGCGCTGTTTTAGTCGGTAAACTGCATGTTCACGGTTTCGCCAGTTTCTCAATCGGACTGCACTATCTTGGATTTAATGATGCCCATTTTCATCGACTTTGCGTGGGATAGGAAACTGACAAAGAACCATTATGATATAAAAGCTAGTCGTGGAAACGATTCGTAGACTGTTCAGCATGCAACTAATACAGGCCATGTCCAGGTAGTCTGCCGCAATGAATGAAGGACGTGTGACATAAAAATGTCAGTAAATGAGCAAGTACAAATAACGCCAACAGCTGTCTGAACAGGGACACAGCCATGAATCAGAACTGCAATCGCAGATTAAGTTGACCATTTCCGGCTTTGGTTCAAACCGGTTTGTCCAGTTTATTCTCCGTTCCGAAAATTAAGTAAACACCCTGAAATCCACGGATTTTGTCCCAAAACTCTCAGAATTTCAGTCTGTTGCTTTTTTAAGCGATGAACTAAAGCCCCTTATTGACTAATGAAATGAACTTGCAGATGATCGCACATTTCCATTCACTTGCGCTTAACTTTGATTCCGCGGGGTTTTTTCAATTTTCTCTAACAAATCTCGCAGGTGCATTGACGAATGGAAAGTATCAAGGAATGACAAATGATCTTCTCAATGATAATTCACAAAAAACGACTAATTCTAACCATTTCGGAAGATTTGAGGCCAGTGGCGATATCGTCTGTAGATTTCAAAAGCCGTAATATCTGTGCTTCCTTTGTCACTATATAACTTTACACTTCCACTTGATTCGTCGTCCAGTGAATTAACTAAATCTTCAAATATTATGGTGTTGCTGGATACATCATTTCCAGTTTGTAAGAGGTATATGCAAGAACCATGTTTGCAGTCAATGTCGAAGTGGAGTTATCTGAGTGATTCCATACTAACTGTGGAGTTCACCAAGTCGATGCTTTTACCGATGCTACTCAGCATTGTTCTTAACTTTCTTTTTCGAAACTTCTGCTGCAAGGACGAAGGTCCCTTTCTCGAGGAAATGCTCAGTTCAAGGTTTCTGGCTAGAGGTTTTGCTGACCTGGAGTACGCACTGATATTGCCCTGTTTAGTGGGGGTGGGTGCGTTAATCACCGTATGGCTTCTGTATGCGACACGACTGCGAAACCCCATCTTTTCCTTAATGCCCGGAAGTCAAAAGTTATGTGCAGCCCAGCCGATGCAGCTGATGTGTTAGTGGAATGGGAGGTGAAGCACTTCAGGAGGTTGACAGGGTTATGTATTTCCGCTCCATCTTCCAGCTCTAATGATGGCACCATCGAGCTTAAATATAAAGATCGTTTTAGGCTCAAGTGTTTTCGGAAACCTGTCCAATATTTGGGCTGAGAAAGGAGTTATTCCCATGAAAATCCGCCTGTGCCTTGCTTCTGACAGGTCAGTTGTTTAGACAGTTGTTTAAACGACCGAGCAGGAACAGCGGTTGAATTGCGTGCAGCAGCTTTGGCTTCGACGCATAATGAGGGTTAGATGATAGGACAAGCCATATAACCAATGACTATTCTCTTCTGGACATGTGACCTCAGTCGATGTGAAAATTAGGAAAAAGATTCACCTTGTGATACAAATTGGTTGAACATAAGCAAGATACTCCAGCTTATGAGCTTCTCATACAGGAGTCAAAATACGGAAGACGTCGACCAGGAGGCCAGCATGCAATCTGAAGGAAAAAGATATAGGTAGATCTGCTTTCGGTGCGGAAAGTCCTTCTGCGATGCAGTAACTAATGCCTTGTAGCAAAATTATTGAAAAGCCGCAATTACAGCGGAACTCACAAACCAGAAACGCTCTGCTTATGTAAGCGACTGGAAAGGTGCTGATTATTGAGAATGTACAAGCATGTATTGAAAATTTTTGAGTTCTTATACAAAGAACAAAGAATTTACTTTGTTTTATAATTTTGAATCTCTGCTTTTAAATTAATGAATCGAAAATTGAAGAACGAAATTGTGCTATACGAAGATGAAGATTGATATTGGTTTCAAAGTTTATTTGATCTAGGGATCTACTTCAGAATCCAAACGTATCGTATTTCCAGCGATGCAGGCGTCCGGCCGCACCATATTTGTCAGTTTACTGAAAGTTGGCTTGCGCACGTTCGGCATTTGCTTTAGGATCTCGAGATGGTCTTGAAGTGATATCTTGTTGGATCTTTTTCCATTTGAAGGTGTCTTCAGATTTATGCAGAATGAAGGTAACTGGGATATCTAAGCAACGCGCGGGTTTCGGCAAATGTGGGGTGTACAATCTTCTCGTTTCTAGGCAGCACGGCGAGTATGACTGTCACATGCTGACGCTGTCCGCCTCGGTCTTTGTTCCCATCAGGCATCAGAGATAATGACATTTCGACGAGTTCGTGTTCATTTTCTTCCAGAGCGCCTTGTACCTTGAGTTCGTGACGATACACTTTAGGGGCTAGAACTTGACCATTAAGGCGATCTTGTGATGCGACCTGTTTAAAACCGAGTTGACCACAGTGTTGGAAAAGTAGGAGTGTAGGCGGTAGAAGATTTTCGTCGTCTAAATGTCTATTTCTTTTAAAATTTCCATTTTACGCCTGACTCATTTGTTCTTTCGATAGATGTAGAGCGTTGCGCAAGTCAGCGTACGGCAGAAATTTTGAGTACCAAATGAGTTTAAAAGGTAAACGCTGACAGAACGGAATACGCACAGTTTGCACTGTTTATTGACATTCACTGCTCGTTTTAACCTTTCGTCGCTGTTTTACACTGTACAAGATCGAACGTGAAAATTACTGTGAAGATTCTTTCCAATTCAGTGGTTGATGGGAGAGAGGTACGAAATGATTGGAGAAGCTGTGATATCGTAACCTTAACATCATACCAACATTTGGGACCACAGACATTACCATCATCAGCTGCGATGATCAGAGGCGAAACAAAGCGGCAGGGTAAAACCTCATACAGGTTGCAGTATAAACATTTCAGAACTAAGCCACTTTTTATGAATGACAGGACTGTTGCCTGAACATGACTGCGACCACTGATGTTGATGGCGATAAACTGCTGAACTGTCAGCGCAGGGTTTAACTCTGGTGAATTTTATTGCAACTGCCAGTTCATCAGGTATCCCAGTTTTTTCTATCCATTTAATGTACGATTAAATATGATTCTATAAAATAACTAAACGGGATACTACAATATTCACCGAAAAAAGCTACCTTCCTTAGATATGTCAAGCGAACTGGCGCAGCTGGTGCGTGATTTTATTTCTTTGTTCGCATAAATCAGTGTAAAAGATTCTCTAGTTATTGACATAACTTTGCTTCTGCCTTGATTAGGGATGATCATAGCGTAAAATGTTACGATTTTTACGAACGTGGCCAAAAAATGCCGAATGCGCAATTTGACGACATTCCTAATTTAAAGCATATCTTACTCCGTTCTGCAAACCATATTTTAAGTTTTCAATATTTTCCAGTTATATATAGTATTCAACGAACCGAAAGTTTATCTGATTTGTATATAATGATTCCCTCTTGAAAATTACGCTGATTCCATGGCCATTTGACGAGTCTGCTGATATCCTTGAATAACGGGCAGAATACTCTGAAAGGTTATTTTACACTTTTAAGACAGACCAAATTAAAAACGAAAAAAGCAGTTCATTATATTTTGTTCATTATATTATTATTAGTTCATTATATTATTAGTTCATTATATTTTACGATACCTATCAGTGGTATCTGCAATTTAGACGGATGGGACATGTATAACTTTTGATTACGCTCCCCATTGCATTACTTCGGTCTTGCCTATCAACGTTGCGCGAAACACGTCAGTTTGTTTCAATTTTCTTTGTAATTTGTGCTGAATCGTCTGATAATCAATTTTTTCAAACAAAACGCGCCATAATTCACGTTAGTTTGATATTCTAAGGGTTTTCTCATAGTCGCAGTGCAATACTGACTC